CACTCCTAGATGAAAATATATGCAGTAATCTTTGACATTGGACATAGCAACATCTTTCTAGATAGGTCTCCTCAGGCAAGAGAAACAGAAACAAAAATAAATTATTGGGACTACATCAAAATAGAATCTTTGGCACAGCAAAAGAAATCATCAACAAAATGAAAAGGCAGCCTACTGAATAGAAGAAGATCTTTGCAAATGACATATATGAGAAGGGGTTAATATTCAAAATATATAAAATATACAATTCAACACTAAAAAAATCCAAATAATCCAGCTAAAAAATGGGCAGAGGACCTGAATAGACATTTTTCCAAAGAAGACATCCAGACGGCCAACACACACATGAAAAGATACTCAACATCACTAATCATCAGGGAAAAGCAAATCAAAACCACAATGAGATATCACCTAACACCTGTCAGAATTCTTATTATCAAAAAGACAAGAAATAACAAGTGTTAGTGAAGATGTGGAGAAAAAGGAACCCTCGTGCACTGTTGGTAGGATTTAGTCAATATAGCAAATCAGTGTAGCCACTGTAGAAAACAGGGTGTAGTTTCCTCAAAAAATTAAAAATAGAAATATGCTACAATCCAGTAATTCCATGACCTGATATCTACCCAAGAAAACAAAAAAACACTAATTCAAAAAGATATATGCACCCCTGTTTATTGCAGCATTATTTAAATAGTCAAGATATAAAAACAACCTAGGTGTCCATCAATAGATGAATGAATAAAGAAAATGTGGTGTATATGGGTACACACACACACACACACACACACACACTGGAATATTGCTCAGCCACACACACACACACAAAATGAGATCTTGCCATTTGTGACAAGTTGGATGGACCTAGAGGGTATAATGCTAAGTGAAATAAGTCAGAAAAAGACAAGTACCATATGATTTCACTTATATTAGAATCTGAAAACAAAACAAATGAACAAAGTAGAAACAGACCCATAAATACAGAGAACTGGTGGTTGTCAGAAGGGAGATGGATGGGAAAAAGGGTGAAGGGAAGTGGGAGGTACAGGCTTCCAGTTATGAAATGAGTAAGTCATGAAGGTAAGAGGTACAGCATAGGGAATATAGACAATGGTATTTTAATAGCACTATATGAGGACAGGTGGTAGCTGCACTTGTGGGTGAGCATAGTATAACATATAGACTTGTTGAATTACGATGTTATATACCTGCAACTATTGTAATATTGTGTGTCAACCATACTTCAATAAAATAAAGGACTGAACAATCATTATGAATTAAGAATCCACTACATTAGTCAACTAATGTTCGACAAAGCAGGAAAGAATGTCCAATGGAAAAAAGATAGTCTCTTCAACAAATGGTGTTGGGAAAATTGGCCAGCCACATGCAGAAGAATGAAACTGGACCATTTCCTTACACCACACACAAAAATAGACTCCAAATGGTTGAAAGACCTCAATGTGAGACAGGAGTCCATCAAAATCCTAAAGGAGAACACAGGCAGCAACCTCTTCAACCTCAGCCGCAGCAACTTATTCCTGGAAACATCGCCAAAGGCAAGGGAAGCAAGGGTAAAAATGAACTATCGGGACTTCATCAAGATAAAAAGCTTTTGCACAGCAAAAGAAACAGTCAACAAAACCAAAAGACAACTGACAGAATGGGAGAAGATATTTGCAAATGACATATCAGATAAAGGGCTAGTATCTAAAATCTACAAAGAACTTATCACACTCAACACCCAAAGAACAAATGATCCAATCAATAAATGGGCAGAAGATATGAACAGACATTTTTCCAAAGAAGACATCCAAATGGCCAACAGACACATGAAAAAGTGCTCAACATCGCTCAGCACCAGGGAAATCCAAATCAAAACCTCAATGAGATACCACCTCACACCAGTCAGAATGGCTAAAATTAACAAGTCAGGAAACGACAGATGTTGGCGGGGATGCGGAGAAAGGGGAACCCTCCTACACTGTTGGTGGGAATGCAAGCTGGTGCAGCCACTCTGGAAAACAGTATGGAGGTTCCTCAAAAAGTTGAAAATAGAGCTCCCATACAATCCAGCAATTGCACTACTGGGTATTTACCCCAAAGATACAAATGTAGGGATCCGAAGGGGTACGTGCACCCCAATGTATATAGAGCAATGTCCACAATAGCCAAACTATGGAAAGAGCCAAGATGTCCATCGACAGATGAATGGATAAAGAAGAGGTGGTATATATATACATAACGGAATATTATGCAGCCATCAAAAGGAATGAAATCTTAACCATTTGCAAGGATGTGGATGGAACTGGAGGGTATTATGCTGAGCTAAATAAGTCAATCAGAGAAAGACATGTATCATATGATGTCACTGATATGAGGAATTCTTAATCTCAGGAAACAAACTGAGGATTGCTGGAGTGGTGGGGGGTGGGAGGGAGGGGGTGGCTGGGTTTTAGACTTTGGGGAGGGTATATGCTATGGTGAGCCCTGTGAATTGTGTAAGACTGATGAATCACAGACCTGTACCTCTGAAACAAATAATCCATTATATGTTAAAAAAAAAAAAAAGAAGAAAAAGATAGCAGGAAGGGAAAAATGAAGAGGGGGAAATTGGAGGGGTAGACGAACCACGAGAGACTGTGGACTCTGAGAAACAAACTGAGGGTTCTAGAGGGGAGGGGGGTGGGGGGATGGGTTAGCCTGGTGATGGGTATTAAAGAGGGCACGTACTGAATGGAGTACTGGGTGTTATATGCAAACAATGAATCATGGAACACTACATCAAAAACTAATGATGTAATGTATGGTGATTAACATAATAATAAAAAAGAAAAAACTAATGATGTAATGTCGGTGATTAACATAACATAATAAAAAAAAGAAAAATATTTCTTGGAGTTGAGAAAAAAAAAAAAAAGGATCCACTATATTGCCAAAGGATCTAGTGTTATGACTTGTATTAAGATGTTGCCATTTATAAGTAAAGGGTTTGCTTCTGGAGTTATGGAATCACTTTGCACATGAGTCTAGGGGTATTTTGACAATTTTATCTATCAAGACTGGCAATATAAGTACTCGAATGTTGGCAATAGTGCAAATACCTCAATATTTCTTTAGCCATATTTCTGGTATCCAATCCCCTAAAATTCTGAAAAATAAAGAATTACTCATTCTGATTTCTCTGCTGTGTTGGAAATGAGATCATTTGTGGAATATGCTTTTACTCTGGACAACTGAGATTGAGATGCTAATCAGATTGGTTGATATGTGTACAGCAGATTTGTGGCTTTTAAATAAGCATAGGACTAATCTCCCCTTTTTTTCTCAGGAATATTTTGTTTCTACCAAATCTGCTATGTGTATAAAATGGGGAGAGGAATGATACTGCCTTTGAAGTAGATGTTTGGTGGAATGTCTTCCCAGACCATTAACCATCTTCCCTTTCTTCCCTGAGGACAAGTCCTTCACTGGGGGCACTCTGCTCCTCAGCCATTGATAGCTGGGGTGGGGTGGCCAAAGCTGAACCCACTACATACTTTTTTTCAGAAATTGGGATCTGAGATTCAGAGACAGCCAGTGAAATCTTTGATGCATCTATAACTCTACTTATAAATGTGGAATTGCAAGCAAATATATTTTGCCACATGTAATGAAAAACAAACAAAAGTCAGTCTGTAAAAAGTGAAGGATGAAGAAGACTCAGGTAAGTTTAAAAAAGAAAAAAAAAAAAAAAGAATTTCCTTGGTCTCTGACAACTTTCCTTACAATGACTCCTTTTTTTCTCCACATAGGCTGAGTGGATTTTATTACAACCAAGGCTTAACTAATATAAAATGCTATTTCCTGTGGATGAGTGTTTTGTTTTTCTTCTAGTTTTGTTTCATTTCTTTTATTTATGTGCTTAGATGCAGAATGTCTGTAAGTGCTGGAGTCTACTCAATCAGGTTTAAACGTTGATGTGATCACTTGCTAGCAAAGTATACTAATTTGGATGCACTCATACTAAAAATTTACTCATTATCTGAAATTCAAATTTAACTGGGCATCCTTTCTTTTATCTAGCAACCTTCTTTTTGACATAGTTTCTTCCTTTGTAAAATGGAGGTAATAACCAAATCAGAAAAGATGTTAAAAATGTCAAGGATATCATAAGCATTATTTCAAATAATGTTTTAGAAATGTGGCTTATTATTTTCTTTTGTCTTCCCTTTTACCTGTGCTGTATCTATAACACAAGAAGGTGTTGCTTACAAAGACCACCCATTGGGAGTAAATGGTTCATTGTGGAACATGGGGAAATGTTTTATGCATTTTATGCAACAAGGTCTTTATTATCAGATTAGAGAATTTGGAAGGCCATATACTTCTGTCTACTTGACTTCACCTAGGCACCCCATCCCAGAATACTCTAATATTCATTCTTGTGCTGGGCATATAGCTAGGTCTTAGTTATATAACAACTGGTTTCCAATTCAAACCAACATCTCCCCATCTGATCTTTCTCACCTGCTATAGAAAGAGATGAAGAAAGAAAAAGCATAAGGAATAAAGGAAGGAGATAATATACTAGTTTACTATTTGCCTGCTTAAGGATAAAGAATGTAAGATTCTTTATTTCTCATCTCTTGTGTCTAAATTCTTCTCATTTTTTTTTTTTTAACTTGATGGCTTATATCCCCTGACTGGACGAACCCAAGAAGTACTGAAGGACCTCTTTAACACAGCTCATTCTAACATGTTTTCTGCTTGAGGGACAAGGGACATAGAGCAATGAACTTTCTTTACAGAGCATTCATCATGCATTTTTTTTATTTATCACTCTAGATCCAGTGGGATTGGATGAGACTTTTGTCTCTCCCCAGTGTGGGCTTGATGATCCACCACTAAGCAATGGGCATAAAAGTGGCATGCTTCTGTTTTTATTTTCCTGTTCAAAGTCACCACCTCTGGAGGTGCTTAAAAGTAGCCAGCTAGGGGCTTGTGGAGAATATCAACAGGCCTTAGTTTGGTTTTGAAGAAGCAGGGGCATTCACCTCTGTGCTTTCCTTCATTTTTTCCTTCCCATTTTCTCTCATAGTTTCAGTTTCACCTAAATGTGTCTGGGATGATAGTTTATTGCTCTGAGTCAATACAGCTTGCTTAGAATCACTAACGGAAATAGTTTTTGGCTCCAAATAATGAACAGATGTCATCAAAGGTTTTGTTGTAGTCCGGTGGACTGGGTCAATGGTAGGAGAATGATTTATGTTTGTAGGTTTCTCTGATGTTGGCATTATATTTATCATTTCATATGGACTCTGAGATGAAGTATCCAATTTGTAATAAGAAGTGCTGAAAGGGATGGCACAAAACACAAGATCCGAGGGCAGGAGCTTAAAGTCATTGGCTGGCCGGGTGATCACAAACCTGTAAGAAAAGCCAAAGATGACTCCCGAACCTCTGCAGCCGGGACAGTTGTGGCTACAGGCAATGGCCCAAACAAGGAAGTCTTTGTGCTGGGCCAGAGGAGGAAATGTTTTTTGTTCTGCTTTGCTTCACTGGTTTCTTATTAAGAGTAAATACCTTTGACACAGAGCAACAGAAGTCCTAGACTAGGAATTAGGAGACTAACATTCACTCCTGCCTCTGAAACCAAGCATCTCTGACCTGAGTTCGGCATGGCATCTCCCTTCCTTGGGCCTTGATTTGTTCATCATTTTAATGGGAGAGGGATAGGACAGAGATGTGGACTGACTGATCTCTAATGGTCTTTTGGGTTCCTGGTTTCTCTGCTTTTAATATCCACTACACTAATGAATTCAGTCAGCCCAATATTGAGCACTTGGCCAAGCTTTATAAAAAATCAGAGGATTACATACTTCCAGCTATTTCCATTCTAGCTTATGCCTACCCTAACACTTATGCCACAAACTTTCACATACAATGCAGTGCAGCCAGTGTGGGGGGGAAGAATATTAAACTGAAGTTTTATTTGAAATTTTGACTCGTAAGCAAAGAGTGAATGTCAATGAGTCTTAAAGAACACCCAGAGCCTGGACCTGCATGAAGACTTCATAGGGAAGCAGGATGCCTTAGCCTAGTATCAGGCACATAGCAAATTCTCAATAATGAGAGTTAAGTTAATGAACACACCAGTCAGTGTTCATGTCAGAACACTGAGGCAGAATAACCTTTCATGGCTTTCATCCTGCATTTCTTCATTGCTGTCCCAAGTGGTCACCTCTTCTTTCCTGAACAACCATCTCAGGGAACCTCTGACCTCTTTTCATTGAATAATCTTCCCCCTTTTATCTTTCCCACCGAGTCCCCTGTAATGTCTATAATAGTTTAAGCAAGACCTACTATAGTCAAAGACTCCCTTTGAAACAGAAATATCATTTCCTTCCTGGAGGTCCTCTCAAGTATAGGCTGCACGTTCTCCCAATTACTGAGCTCCATGGGTTTTCCGCAAGTGTTGGAGCAAGGGCATGGAGTTCAGGCAGAGAGAGAGAAACCAGCATCATTCATGCTTCCCAGTGCTGCTTCCAGAACATCACTGCTCCCTCAGCATCTTTGTGATTAATGCTCTATAGCCGTATCACCCTCCCTCTCGATTCATCGGTGTCATCTACAGACCTCCATATTTATTTAGGCCTCTGGCACTTGGGACACTTTTTCTTTCAAACTCTAGTGCCACTATCATCTCAGCAATGGCTATGCCTATACTTCACGGGGAAATCCTGGTGTTACACACAAATTCCTTTGAGCACAGCCCTCACCTAATGGCTATGTTTGTCTTGGCACCCATTCTTTTCCTTCCTTTCTCTGATGAGTAGAAAAGTCTTCTTTCCATTCAAGACTACCCCACTTTGAGTAGCTTGGTTTCTTTCCCCTTAGAAAAGAGAACAAGTTTCCTTCAATCTTCTTCCACTCTATTGTTTTTAATCTCTCCTTCTTCTACTGAATCTTGTCCATTCCCACTGTGAGGATCCTAGTTTGGACCTATATTACTGTGTTGTCTGTAGATTGCACACTCTCTTTTCCCCTCCTGCCCTCCACATGCATTTCCTCTATGTTCTCCTACACTGTGGTCAGATTGCTCTTTCAACTGAAATCTGAGCATATCACTCCCATAATTTGTACATGTAAAACACAGTGGTCTAGAAATGAGGCAGTTAATCAACATTTACCCAATGAGTCCAGCAGAAAACAAGTAAATCTTTCCAATGTGGACAGTGGCTTTCAGCTTTAAGAAGTTGTATAGACAAACTGATACAGCCACTCTGGAAAACAGTATGGTAGTTCCTCAAGATGTTAAAAATAGAGCTACCCTATGACCCAGCGATTGCACTACTAGGTATTTACCCCAAAGATACAGATGTAGTAAAAAGAAGGGGCACATGCACCCCAATGTTCATAGCAGCAATATCCACAATAACCAAACTGTGAAAGGAACCAAGATGCCCTTCAACACACGAATGGATAAAGAAGATGTGGTACATATATACAATGGAATATTACTCAGCCATCAGAAAGGATGAATATCCACCATTTGCATTGACATGGATGGAACTGGAGGAGATTACGCTAAGTGAAATCAGTCAAGCAGAGAAAGACAATTATCATATGGTTTCACTCATATACGGAACAAAAGGAATAGAGCAGAAGACCACAGGGGAAGGGAGGGAAAACTGAATGGGAAGAAATCAGAGAGGGAGACAAACCATGAGAGACTCTGGATTCCAGGAACCAAACTGAGGGTTACAGAAGGGAGGGGTGTGGGGAGATGGGGTGACTGGGTGATGGGTACTAAGGTGGGCACGTGTTGGGATGAGCACTGGGTGTTATACGCAACTAATGAATTGTTGAACACTACATCAAAAACTAATGATGTACTATATGTTAGCTAACAGAACATAATGAAAATAAATAAATAAAGATTAAAAAAAAAAGAAGTTGCATAGACATGGATGAGGGGTAAGTTACAAAAAAATCCTGATTTAAAATCTGGGTCTACATCTCAGGTTTCACTGGGGACACAGACACCATTATCCTTACATGGTCAATGTTAATTTGATCATCAGTTCATTCATGTTATTTACACCCAGCTTCCTTCTTCCTATATCACTGTCTACTTCCCCTGGAACCTTCTTTGTAATTATGGACCCTGAGCTCTGGACTTCTCTTTCACATTGAATAAAGTAGTTTTGGCTCTTATGCTTGGATAGATGGGTAGAACTCTCCAAGCAAGCATACTCCCCTTTTTTGTTCCGGCTTGTTCTCCTCTTCATCTATCATGCGGTATAAACCAAGGCACAGGATTCCAAAATTATCTAATGAGCCACAGAACACTTGCCCAAATGTCTTTCTTGGCTGGGGAGAAAAGAGAAAAACATGTGTCTGTTGGTACTTTAAGCAATAACAAGCACTTACTGGAAAGTTATTATCTTTCCTTGTAGTAAAAGTTTGGAAGACCCAAAAGCTGTTTCCTAATATCTTTTATGGTGGCAGTGTCGAGTAGGAAATTAGGTTTATGATAAGTTTTGAGCATCTAATCCCAGTGATTGTTTTTATCACTGTAATCTTTCAAGAGCCTCTTGTGGGTGTGACGTAGCATGTTGTTATGCTAGTTTTTATTACTACTGCTATTTTGGTAACCATTAAAGAAGTAACAATGAGTAAAAGATTAGAAAATTCAGTTTTCAAGCTATATAATGGGTTGGGATGTTCAGTGACCTCCAGAGAGTGATGTTCTTATCCTACTCTACCACAGTTTACAGTCCCAAGCATTCCTCTTGACACTGCTCTCAGGCTATAGCCAACAAGGGCATGATGGATAGACAACAGGGTCAAAGCATCAGCAAATGCATTCAATGAAGCCACGTGAGAACAGTTTGTTTCATTATGTGATTCTCTAGGGTAGAGAACAACGTGAGGACAAGATACAAGTGAAGAAAGGAAGGAGAACAATGTTGACCAGTCCACTGTCACCTCTGATACTGACAAGAAGTTGCCAGCAGCAGTTGTCCTGGGCTTATAATCACTCCCAATTCAATCTCGGGTTAGGAGCCCAGGACCACAGAAATGCAAAGGACCAAAATGTGCTAAGGGAACTTTGCCATATTGTTTGCACCTGCAATTCAGATGTATGGAGCATGGGGTTTTCCCTTTTTGGCAGTATCTATCAAGACGTACCAGGTGCAGAGACCTGGAAGAGCCTGCTCCATGTGAGGGGGGTTCTGCTGATGTCCTCTGAACAAAAAATATTTCCTTAAAATGCCCTGCCCTGGACAACTGGTAGAGAGCTAAATGTAATGTCAACCAAAGCTAAACCAAAAGGCACTGATAACTACATTACTCATTCCCAGGCTAGACTCCACTGTGAACCCCCAACACCCAGATGCCCCACTGCATATGCCATAATGACCTTTTCCCCTTGCATTTGCCACTGGCTAGCCCAATCTGAGTCTTAGACCCAAACACAGAACCCTTCTGCCTGACTTAGGCTGACATGATCAGATTTATCAGCTCAGGTATAGGAAGAGTGAGCAGAGCCTGGGTCAGACTGCCTTGGAGGGTCCCTTGCTTTTCCAGTGGGACAAAGAGTGGCCTCAGACAAGTCCTTTTTTCTCTGAGTCTCAGCTTCTTGATCTGTTCAGTGCAATTAATAACAATGCCTACCATATAAATCCTTGGACAGGTTAAGTAAACAACAACAACAAAGCAGACAGGCACAGGGAACATGCTCAGTAAATATTAGTTATAATTATTAATACCCTTGCTAAGGTACAAAGTTATTAGATTTCTCAGATGCTTCCTGCACACTTGGATTTTTTTATCTGGAAGATGAAGATAATAATACCTGTCTTACCTACCTCCTGGAATTGTAAAAAAAAATAAATAGGATATGTGAAAATACACTTTAAATTCTAAAATACTCTATGAATACAAGGTTGTATTAGCTTTTGTTATTCTTTCTATGCTCTAGGCCATCTAGGAACCCAAATAGCCTGAATCATTTTCAGGAATCCAGACTGGTAAGGAAGTGGGAACCTTTATCAGGATAGGAGTAGACTCACTTTAATGTCTGACAAGATGGTTTCAGTTAAGGACAGAAGCCCCAGCTTACACCGTGCTCTTCCAGACATAATTGAAGTGCAGCTGTGGGTCAGCCCACAGATACTCTTATCCAAATGCTGTTCCAGCTGAGAACTTATCCCTCCTGTCACCAGCATCTGAAGTAATTCCAGGACATGATAATTGTAGAAGGCCTGGAAAGCAAGGACAAGCCGTGTGCAAAGTCAGAAGAGCCAGCACAGACACTGTGGAGGTGTACAGTCTTGCAGACTTAGGGGGCATCGCTGTTTGAAATGGACCCAGTGAGGCAAAACAGGGTCCCTCGTCATCATTATTAAAATCAACTAAAAGCTCTCAGTTCAGGTAGGGCGCTGAGTTAGGCAAAGTACAGAGAAAATACCATTGACCCAGCTCCTGCTCCCTTGGGCTCACACTGTGGCAGAAGAAAGTGGGTAATGATGCTAACACCAAGGATGCCCCCCCCTCCAAAAATAGCCAGAGGAGTATGTCAGACTACAGATACCCTAATAATCATCAACATATATTTAAAACTATGTATTTAATGTGACTGCTATAGTTTTTCCTTAGGGAACTACTGACATTATTACTGTCATCTGTAACTGAATCTTCTGGATGTGAGCCTACTTATATTAAGTAGGTTAAGAGATGACTTCAAATGCCTTTTCCTCCCTAATGTCCTGACTTATGGTCTCCTCCTTTTGATTGTGACCTGCCTGAGGACAGGTATTGACTTGGATCTTATTAATATTTAGGTCTCCCGTAGCTCTCAGGTACTACACAAATAGTAGGTGTTGAATAAATTAATAGAATTTGGGAATCTTTGGCATCAAAATGAAACCAAAGGAGGACGTGTGGGACAACTTCTTATTTTGAAAACTACTTTGAGTCTGAATAAACCTAGCTATATTCTTAAACCCAAAGGATTCCTATCGTATTTAGTGTAAACTAGGCATTGGCATACATGTAAATAGCACTGTAATATATTACCCATTAGATTTTCCCAAATCTATTGAATACATAGTGTTTTAAGTGTTCAACCTTTTGTTTTATCTAAATTAGACTTTTACTCCAGTAGACATGAGGATTTATATGTTCATATATTACTTATAAAAATAATAGGAATGACCTCAATTGTTACTGTCGTAGAAATTTTCCAGTTCACTTTCTCTAAATTCAGGGACTTGTCTTCTGCAGACTGAATTATGATAGGGGCCTGTTTACTAGTCTTCCTGTCTTGTTTTTATTCTTACTTGCAATCCCTGTTCAAAATCTTTCCAGAAGATTCTCTAGGACACAAATCAAATCATGCCGTCCCCCTCCTCAAACCTTCAATGTCATATCCCTGCTATAAAACCAAGCTCATCTCCTCCATTAATGGTGCCCTCCAGTGCACGACAGTCTATCTGTTGCTCTAGCTACATATTTACTCCTTCTTGCCTTTGCTTTGGAACATCTGACTGATCGCTCATCAAACTCTATGGTTGGCAAACTCTATGCTGGTCTCCTCATCAGAAAGAAGTTTTCCATGCAGAACCTGCCCTCTTTAATACCCATCACCAGGCTGGGTGTTATATGCAAACAATGAATCATGGAACACTACATCAAAAACTAATGATGTATGGTGATTAACATAACATAATAAAAAAAAAAGAAAGAAGTTTTCCTTTCTTTGTGATCCCACAGCCACTGGCTTTTGCTCCATTTCATCCTTCTGTATTTTATAGTTAGTAGTTTGTCTGAAACACACCTGACTTTGAATCTTAGCTGAGATTAATCTTAGCTGAATAACCCTAGCTATGTTCTTAAACTATTTTCCCAAAGGATTCCTATCGTATTTAGTGTAAACTAGGCATTGGCATACATGTAAATAGCACTGTAATATATTACCCATTAGATTTTCCCAAATCTATTGAATACATAGTGTTTTAATTGTTCAATCTTTTGTTTTATCTAAAAACTTAGCTGAATCCTAGCTGAGTACTTTTGGACAATTCATGTCCAGAAACAGTTTTATAACCTTTAAAGTTGACATGATAATACCATCTTTGAGCCTTGTTTGTGGGATGAAATGAGATATACCACACACATTACTAAATTCTGTTCTCAGGTATTGGGATCGCCTGGAAGGATGTTCATGAGTATAGATTTCTAGGATCCAAGATCCACTGGATTAGAATGTATGGAGAGGAGTGGGCATCAGAAATTTAAAGGGCACCTCTGGTGGTTCTGCCACTGGTTGGTGCTCAGATCACCCTCTGGGGCAACAGTTCCTTAAATGATATGGTCTTTCAGAGGACAGACTTTGTCAATTTAACATTCATGTCCTCAGGGGTGCATTGAACAAGGCAGGTGTTAAACAGCTGTAAGAATACTAACTGCAATTGGCAGTCAGTTTTTAACAAATAAATATTGCTAGTAAATTGTAGAAGCCATTGGAACAAAAGGGTCTAAGAAATAATATAAGGTATATGAATTAAGATAGAATAACAGAAAAATAAGTTTTAAAATAGTTTTTAGGTTAAAAGATGACTTCAAATGCCTTTTCCTCCCTAATGTCCTGACTGAAGTGATCCACTGACAGTTTCCTCCTTATTTCTTCTTTGTTCCATTTTGCTACTACCCAGAAGGGTGCTTATGGAATCAGCTCCCTGAAATCCAGGCATGAACAGGGGATGTAAATCCAGGTTGAGCCACAATCCGTTTAAGAACAAGTGGCCATAGTGTAGAGTGATCAAACATAATGCTGTTAGAATAATTCTCCACTGATTAAAGAAAAGGTATAAATTCTAGGGTTATCCTGGTGTCAAGGGCTCTAGGGAAACATGTACTTTACATATTTAACTGAGAGAGGCTTAGCTTTTGAATATATCATTTCTTCAGTTTTGACATCAAAAGGATTGCAATTCTATATTGGGGAAAATAAAGGGATTTACATGTCACCCTTACTCCATGAGCTCATCTAGTATTCTTATTATTCAGGGTTCTATGGTATTGATCTCTTTCTTTTTTCCTCTCTCCTTTCCTCCCTTCCTTCCTCCCTCCTCCCTTCCTTTTCTTTTTTCTTTCTCAAGAAAATAGGAAAGTTGAAATGTGCTTCCAATATTTTAAGACCTTTAAACTTGGATACTCTTTCTAATATAATCACATTTACTAGAATTTGGACTTTCAGGGTTAGAAAATGTTGCAGCCCCAAGTGTTTTTACTTCTAGCTACAATGAAGCTGTAGGTCTCTCTCACAACTTACAATATTACTTAATAACATAGGTACTAACATCCTGCCTACTTGCTGCTTTTTATTCTGAAAATCTAACCTCAAAAGGCCTTAAGATCAAACATTCTCTGAGAAATATTTCTGAGAATGAGGCTACATGGTAAGAAAACTGCAACTAACCAGCTGAATGACCTTAAGGGAGTCACGTAACTTCTGTGAGCTTCAATTTCCTTCCTTGTAAGGAAATTGCTCCCTACGTTCATGTCCAGTTCTGAAGTTCTATTGTTACAAAGCTGTGTAAGAGTCCTGCTTATGGACCTGAGTGTCTCTCCATATTTTTTTATAACATTAAGCTGATAAAGGATTAAAAGTGAATCTGAATTCTATTTTCTAATGATATGTTTTCCCACCTGGGGAAGGCATTTACAGTAGTCCACCAGAGACTATTTGAGACCTTAGCGTCAGCTGTATCAGATTTGGAGGGCAACACTATTATTTTATGTTGAGAAAAAAATCACAAGTGTATCAGGGGATAGAATAAAAAACTACATGAAATCCAAAACAAAACTTCAGTAAAAGCAGTGATGACTTCACAGCACATTATTCAGGCTTCGTTCTATCCTCGGGATTGCACATTCATTCCTTTGCATTTATTAAGGGGGAATGGAGAAAAAGGGGGAGAAGTCAGAGTCAAGACCAGTGATCTCATCTTGTTTCTGACTTGGCTGAGGTGTTAGCCACCTTTTTCCTGAGGGAGTCTGTTCTGAAATTCATCTGTATTCCCCCTTGCATTTCTGTGTAGTGTGGGCATCAGGGAAACAGACCTCGAATTATAACTTCTGACCATGAAGCAATGGAAAACAGATCTCTTGGTGCATTGAACTGGGCAGCAGGTTGGAAGAACCACCTGGAAGGTGTTCTTTGGGGAGGAGAATTATGGGACAAAAGGCACATGCAAAATTGGGTGGGATGGTGGACTCCTGTCTCTCATACAGGACTCTTGACTGGAAACTGGAAATCTATCCCAGAAGAGAGAACAGGATTCTGGTCCTTTCATTTTATGCCTCCCTCTCTGTTGGTCATATATTCTAACTTCTAGGGAGCAGTTTTCCAAATCTTAACAACAGAAATCATCCTTCACATCAAATCCTAGGCAGAAGCCTCATGCACAGCACAGATGAAAGCAGTTGTTCTGACTGGGGGGATAGGTGCAGGCAGGGGAGCATGATGGGGTAGGTGCACTCTGGGCTGCTTCCTGCTTGTCTGCTCAGCACCGCCTGAGCACCAGGGGGTAGATTCCTTTAAGCAAAACTTGAAAATCAATGCACTGGAAGGATACTCATGATCACAGAAAGAGCTTTCTGGAAGGACAGAGGACTATGACAGCGAGGTCTAACTCTGGAATCATACAGAGTGGGGTTCGAAAACCAGCTTGTCATCTGTAAATGCTGTGACTTTGGCACTTTATTTGTCCTGCTAAGCCTCAGATTCTTGATTTGTAAAATGAGGCTCATAATTGTATTCTCCTAATTGGTTGAAAGAAGAATTAAAGTATTGTAGCAAAAACCTTGGCCCAAAGTAAGTGCTTCAGAGATGTTATTACTCTTCCTATCACAGTTGTTGCTCTGTTTATTAATATTATTCCAACAAGAAAATTTATTGGGAGAAATTACCTTGAGGTCTGTGTTGGGAAAGACCCGTAGGTGTGATCTGGAGGCAGAGAACTGTGATCATTAGTGGTGGCTGCCATGGGAATGTTTTAGAGAAGTGATAACCACGGAGCCCACAACTGCTATCCTAACTTTAAGGGGAGACCAAGATCTTTGCCTTTCTCTCCCACTTCTCAGCAAGAAGATGCTCCAATATGTATGGAGAAGAAACTGGAGTGTTGACAAATATATTCTGCAGCTACCACAGTGGTGGCTCCCAGATGTTTTCAGTGTCAGAGGATAAATGTTCTCTTCTCCAAGGCTACTGCTCTCATTTCTACGAGATCAGGTGTAAGGTCAGAGACTACCCAAGATCAAAGAGTACTCAGAAGACTCAAGATGATAGAATTTGAGGCCCAGACCTGGCCTTTGGGCTCCTTCTTTCTGTGTGGCTGGACAATGGGAAGTCACCCCCACCCTTAGAAAGCCAAGTGGACCCAGTAGCACCAGACCTAGGGGCAAGGGAATCAAGAGTGGGCAGTATGACCAGGTCATTTTCAAAGGTCTAGTTCAGCTCATCATGGCCGGAGATTTGGGACTGGTGCTGCAAATAGTATTAAAGTGTGTTCATTTTGTTGTGTCATGAATCATTAAGGATTCAAAAGCTGAGGCAGAAGGCCACCAGGTAGATATGCAGAAGGTCAAGACCCAAGCCAGCCCCCTTGATGGAAAAGATTTGCCTGAAGCTTCATTGCTATGCTTGTGACCTCATGTGACTCCCCCCTGGATCAGGCACAGTGTGGGTTTTCTCTCTCCCACAGACTTCACTGTGGGAAAGACTTCTGAGTTTTTACATAGCTTATTTCCTCTTCCAGGAGGACTAGACTGTCCTATCCTGTGGAGAAGCCCACTGATACAATATCTGAAGGCAGCCTGGGAGGCAGTGCTACTCCTCAGTGTGGTCACAAGACCTATGGTGAGTGGGGAGAGGCCCAGCTGCTGGCTCCCATGACCAAGTTTGTGTTTGCTGTGCTGGCTGACATGATGTGTTCATTTGTTTTAATGTCTCTCTCAGCCCTCTTCTGCCCATCCTGCTCTCCCCACTAGCTCTAAACAGAGTCTGTGACTTTGTTCCTACCTCTGGGGGCCAGTGGAGTTTAATTAAGGTTCCAGTTTAATTTAAGGCACAAAGCTGCCTGCCATCTAGGGATCTCTGAGGAGAACTGGGACCTTAACCCCATTTAAAATGTATCCTGCAGACAGGTCCAGTTCATCCAAAGTCACCTTCTGCCTGACATTCCAGTCATTAATTACTGGCAAAGTAACTGACATATCAATGACAGACAGTGATAAAACCCTTTCCCTGACAGAGCTACCTTCCCAGAAAAGTCACCTGACTTGACTCCTGGCTCAGTCAAGGCTGAATGCTGCCTAACCCTTTAGGAAATTCATTGTCTACCAACTTGTTGAATGTTAAACTATCACTAACCTGGTATTATCTCTCTGAGAGCTTGATGGGATTTATGAGACGCCCTCCCCCATCCCCAATGCTCAGGGAAGCAGAGCCTAAGGCAACATAATCCCCTCAGGGCCAGTGGCACTGGCGCCATGAGGGCAGTGTGTGTGGCCTAGCCATGCTCCCCAAAAACTGCAAACCATGCCTTTGAGGCACCCACACAGTTCAGGAATGATGCCCCTTCCACACGGAATTACAGAAAGCTACAAGTTTATCAAGCTGTGTTCAGAGCCCTGTGCGTCTATACACTGATATACAGCCAGGCTGCAATGCTTCCCTTGGAAAATCTGGGGAGAAAGAGTCTGGGAGGTTGTAGGTAACAAGGATTTCCTTTGGAGGAGTTCTTGCGGCCATTTACGAATGGGTACGTACAGATTTTGTATTTTGGTCCAATTCCTTGAATGAACCAAGAGTGCTTGCAGCTCAATGCCTTTTCCCTTTTCCCCTCTGCCTGGTGTGTTTCCTTCCCAAAGATCAGAACAGTGTGTGCTCTCTTCTCTTCTGGAGCTAGATTCCCATGCCACCATGTCAGTGCTGCCTTCCTTCCCTGGCCATGCTATTGAAACTTTCAGCTCCTTTCCTAATCCCTGTATTTCTCATTTCACATTGCCTTAGCCTTCTAGCTATCTGACATGCCACATATGTTCCTTATATATCATGTTTCTGTTACTCTTCTCCATGAGCCCGAGCTCCATATGGGCACAGACGTTGGTCTATTCCATCACTGCTGTACTCCTAGCGCTTGGAACAGTGTGCCCTGCACAGAGTAGGTATTCACTCAGTGAATTAGCTCTACTTACAGAAATACCATAGTCGAGGCAAGGGACCTGCTCAGAGGCTAAAGAGGAGGTGAGAGCTGAAGAGCAACCATGTAGTCAAAAACACACCCCAGGAGCGGGGTAACATGGAGGGAGGGTTGACTTAGTTCTGAACAAAGCTCATACCGCCAAAGGCCAGAAGCTTTTCCTTGGTCCCCATGTCTCCTTATGGCTGATTTCTGTATAAGCTGTTGGGGATATTTTAGAGAGAAGAGAAAGCAGTGTCTTCTAAGCTCTGAAACCAGAGCTTGGTCTGCCAAGATGCACCTGAAGCTAAAAGGTAGGCACCTTGCTTTTTATGTGCTCGTTCCTCCTGGTACTAAGTGTTCTGGTTCTAAGGGCCAGACATGTTTTTAATCTTGAAACTGTGAAAATTTGGCTTCTCTTGCCAAGTAGTTGTGAAAAAAGATGAAATAATGTATGTGAACAAGCTTTTTCAGAGAATCAAAGAGAACTCTGAATTGTGAGGCATTCTCCTTATTTCCCAAAGCTTGAACCATCCTTCCTCCCCTCTGCAAGCTGCACTTAGCTACACTTACTGTGGCAAGGAGGGAATCCAAGAAGCTGCCAGAAAAGACAGTGCCTGTGGAAAAGGATGTGCTGAGATGCAGGCTTGTTCCTGAGAAGGATTCATCCAGTCCACTCAGCTGTTCAATATAGTGGATATTGGAAGGATTTTCTGCAAGGCAAAGATGGAAAAAAGAAAGACAAGCAGACAAGCTTAAGAATACAGGACTGCCATACAAAGCAGGCCAAGGGGTGACCACTGAACAAAGAATTTGATGTCTACACTGGGGTCAATGTGGGATCTGCACTTACTTTAGTATCTATCTATCTATCTATCTATCATCTATCTATCTATCTATCTATCATCTATCTATCTATCTATCTATCTATCTATCTATCTATCTATCTATCATCTATCATCATCTATCTATATATCATCATCTATCATCATTTATCTATCATCATCTATCTACCTATCATTTATCTATCATCTATCATCTATCTATCTATATATCATCATCATCTATCTTTTTTTTTATTTTTTTTTTAAAGATTTTATTTATTTATTTGAGAGAGAGAATGAGAGACAGCACAAGACGGAGGAGGGTCAGAGGGAGAAGCAGACTCCCCGCCGAGCAGGGAGCCCAATGCGGGACTCGATCCAGGGACTCCAGGATCATGACCTGAGCTGAAGGCAGTCGCTTAACCGACTGAGCCACCCAGGCGCCCTCATCATCATCTATCTTATCTATCATCTATCATCTTCCTTCCTTCCTCTCTCTTCCTTCCTTCCTTCTTGCTTTCTTTTTCTTCTTTCTTTCTTTTTCTTTTTCTTTCTTTCTTTCTTTCTTTCTTTCTTTCTTTCTTTCTTTCTTTCTTCTTTCTTCCTTCCTTCCTTCCTTCCTTCCTTCCTTCCTTCCTTCCTTCCTTCCTTCCTTCTTTCCTTTCCTTTCCTTTCCTTCCTTTCCTTTCTCTTTCTTTCTTTCTTTCTTTCTTTCTTTCTTTCTTTCTTTCTTTCTTTCTTTCTTTCTTTCTTTCTTTCTTTCTTCCTTTCCTCTCCTTTCCTCTCCTTTCCTTTCCTTTCTTTCCTTTCTTCTTTCATCTTCCTCCCCTAAACACATGTATCCTTCTTGGGTACCTTCATCATCAAGGGTATATCCTTGCACCCCAGGCCCAGGTCCTCCAAACAAGTGTCCCCAATGTCACCTTTATATAATTTATCTTTCAAACCAGGACACTTTTGTAAGTAAAAGAGGATACTCTCAATAACTGCATGGGGAAAACAGGCATAAATGGGAACACATGATCACCCCAGTGATCACCCCAGACATTTTTCATAATACTATGCCATAGATACCCTAGTATTTATTTGGGTTTTTAGAGTTATCTAGGTCCAGAATGAGTTAAAGTAGTACCTCTCAAAAATTTAATGTGCATATGAATCTCCTGGGCATCTTGTTACAGATGTTACAGATTGTTACAGATTCTGATTCATTGGGTCTAGGGGTGAGAATGGGATTCTAGGTGTCCAACAAGCTTCCAGATGCTGCTGATTCATGGACTACACTCTGAGTAGCCGGGATTAGAGAATCCTCCTAACTGGGGCTCATGTAGCAGTAGCCAAAGTAACCATTAGCATGTCTCTATTTGCCCCAGGCTGCAACTCAGATCCCTGGAGGAAGCATCTGAAGGGAATGCAACTGGTCATTGTTGGGAATACAAACGGAAGCACTGACTGCCTTTGTTCCAAGACTATTGTTTCAAAAATGTTTAAGTAGAAAATAGCATTGGAAGATAAAGATAATATCTCCCACCAGAGCAAAGGGAATCATGCTTACTGCCCATTATAAAAGATTCTGGTTCCTGAAGCCTGGGGTTCTTCTCCTATAAAGCAATTCATGGTGGGTACAGGTATCATTTGGCCCTTTTCATGTCACCCTGTGGGAACAAGGCCTTGGGCAAGCAGCACAAAACTGATGATACTTTGGCTATGGCCGTTGCTTTGAGTGATAAACTGTTCTTTATCTTTGACCCAGTGGTCTTGTGTCTTCTGTCAGGGTCCATGAAACTGTGGCAGGTTACCTTGTTGGTTTGCAAGTAACATAAGGTCTTACTTACATCTTTCACAGTTCTTGACAGTCATATTACAGATCAAACCAAATCTACCTGGCATACGATGCAGAATACATTCCTAACTAAGATTGGATTGTTCTTTAATTCTTTAAATTATTCCTTGTCTATATAAAAGGTGAGCAATGCATGATAATATCAACCCACATTTTTTACACAAATGTATTTTTTTCTCCTTGCATTGCCAACCCTCGACACACTCACATACCCCAGGAGCCCTTGTCCAAATCTTCCTGTGTCATCTTAAACTATTGGCCTCTACTTTGCTAGACATTTTCCTGCATGCCATGGTACATTCTGTACCAAAGTGCTGGCAGTCAGACTTGCAGCTCTCATGTCATCGTGACCCTTTCCAGCCAGCCAAAGAACAAAAACTGAGTGAGCTGACAGGTGCTTTGTTAGACTAATTTAACAAGGGCTGCCTGGTGCCAGCAAGTCTTTAGTTGAAGCAAGCTCTGAGTCCCTGGAGAGTGACCAGATGTACTTTGGGATCAGTGAGAAGCTGGCTGGCCCCTCGTGACCACTCCAACTTACATCACAGTCTTCTAATCAATGTCCTCAGTGTATATACACCTTGGGTTAAACATGGTTCAAAAGGATAGAAAAATAAAAATAAAATACAAATAAAAACTGTGGCTGTGGGGGAGGAGCAAGATGGTGGAGGAGTAGGAGACCTAAATTTCGTCTGGTCCCAGGAATTCAGCTAGATAGGGATCAACCTATTCTGAACACATATGAACTCAACAGGAGATCAAAGAAAAGAATAGTAACAACTCTCTGAACAGAAAAGCGACCACCTTCTGGAAGGTAGGACATGCGGAGAAGTGAATCTGAGGCAATATTCGGGAAGATAGATGGCGGGGGAAGGGCCTCCATCAGCCACTACTGGCAAGTGATAGAGCTGTGGAGCACAAAATCAGAACTTTTAGAAGTTGGCTACGCTGAGGGACGTCGCTCCAGTGGCTAAGCGGGGGGGTGGAACACTCACTGGGACAGTGTGGTCTCAGGACCCTCAGGGTCACAAAAAGACTGGGGGTGCCTGAGTGCGGCAGAGTTCCCAGGTATCAGAGCGGGGAAGCCAGCTGCAGAGACAGAGCCAAGGAGTGGGCTCTCAGCTTGGGGTTGCCATAAACCATGATCCGCGGCACAGTCGGGCCATTGCTCTTCCAGCAGGGACCCAACAAGTGGCCAACGCCAAAGAAATACAAACAATTATAAGAACATATTATGAGCAACTATATGCCAGCAAATTAGACAATCTGGAAGAAATGGATGCATTCCTAGAGATGTATCAACTACCAAAACTGAACCAGGAAGAAATAGAAAACCTGAACAGACCTATAACCACTAAGGAAATTGAAGCAGTAATCAAAAATCTCCCAACAAACAAAAGCACAGGGCCAGCCAGCTTCCCAGGGGAATTCTACCAAACATTTAAAGAAGAATTAATACCTATTCTTCTGAAACTGTTCCAAAAAATAGAAATGGAACGAATACTTCCAAACTCATTTTATGAGGCCAGCATTACCTTTATCCCAAAACCAGACAAAGACCCCATCAAAAAGGCGAATTACAGGCCAATATCCTTGATGAACCTGGATGCAAAAATTCTCACCAAAACACTAGCCATTAGGATCCAACAGTACATTAAAAGGATTATTCACCATGACCAAGTGGGATTTATCCCTGGGCTGCAAGGTTGGTTCAACATCCGCAAATCAATCAATGTGATACAATACATTAACAAAAGAAAGAACAAGAATCATATGATCCTCTCAATAGATGCAGAAAAAGCTTTTGACAAAGTACAGCATCCTTTCTTGATCAAAATTCTTCAGAGTATAGGGATAGAGGGTACATACCTCAAGATCATAAAAGCCATCTATGAAAACCCACAGAGAATATCATTCTCAATGGGGAAAAACTGAGAGCTTTCACCCTAAGGTCAGGAACACAGCAGGGATGTCCACTATCACCACTGCTATTCAACATAGTACTAGAAGTCCTAGCCATGGCAATCAGACAACAAAAAGAAATAAAAGGCATCCAAATCAGCAAAGAAGAAGTCAAACTCTCACTCTTTGCAGATGATATGATACTTTATGTGGAAAACCCAAAAGACTCCACCCCAGAACTCCTAGAACTCATACAGGAATTCAGTAAAGTGGCAGGATAGAAAATCAATGCACAGAAATCAGTGGCATTCCTAAACCCCAACAACAAGACAGAAGAAAGAGAAATTAAGAAGTCGATCCCATTTACAATTGCACCCAAAACCTTAAGATATCTGTGAATAAATCTAACCAAAGAGGCAAAGAATCTGTACTCAGAAAACTATAAAATACTCATGAAAGAAATTGAGGAAGACACAAAGAAATGGAAAAACAGTCCATGCTCGTGGATTGGAAGAACAAATATTGTGAAGATGTCAATGCTACCTAGAGCAATCTACACATTTATTGCAGTCCCTATCAAAATACCATCAAGTTTTTTCAATGAAATGGAACAAATAATCCTAAAATTTGTATGGCTCCAGAAAAGACCCCAAATAGCCAGAGGAATGTTGAAAAAGAAAAGCAAATCTGGTGGCATCACAATTCCTGACTTCAAGCTCTATTACAAAGCTGTAATCATTAAGACAGAATGGTACTGGCACAAAAACAGACACATAGATCAATGGAACAGAATAGAGAGCCCAGAAATAGATGCTATGGTCTACTGACTCTATGGTCAACTAATCTTTGACAAAGCAGGAAAGAATGTCCAATGGAAAAAAGATAGTCTCTTCAACAAATGGTGTTGGGAAAATTGGCCAGCCACATGCAGAAGAATGAAACTGGACCATTTCCTTACACCATACACAAAAATAGACTCCAAATGGTTGAAAGACCTAAATGTGAGACAGGAGTCCATCAAAATCCTAAAGGAGAACACAGGCAGCAACCTTTTCGACCTCAGCTGCAGCAACTTATTCCTAGAAACATTGCCAAAGGCAAGGAAAGCAAGGGCAAAAATGAACTATCGGGACTTCATCAAGATAAATAGCTTTTGCACAGCAAAAGAAACAGTCAACAAAACCAAAAGACAACCAACAGAATGGGAGAAGATATTTGCCAATGACATATCAGATAAATGGCTAGTATCCAAAATCTATAAAGAACTTTTTAAACTCAACACCCAAAGAACAAATGATCCAATCAAGAAATGGGCAGAAGACATGAATAGACATTTTTCCAAAGAAGACATCCAAATGGCCAACAGACATATGAAAAAGTGCTCCACATAACTCAGCATCAGGGAAATCCAAATCAAAACCTTAATGAGATACCACCTCACACCAGTCAGAATGGCTAAAATTAACAAGTCAGGAAACGACAGATGTTGGCAGGGATGTGAAGGAAGGGGAACCCTCCTACACTGTTGGTGGGAATGCAAGCTGGTGTAGCCACTCTGGAAAACAGTATGGAGGTTCCTCAAAAAGTTGAAAATAGAGCTCCCATACAATCCAGCAATTGCACTACTGGGTATTTATCTCAAAGATACAAATGTAGTGATCCAAAAGGGTACGTGCACCCCGATGTTTATAGCAGCAATGTCCACCATAGCCAAACTATGGAAAGCCAAGATGTCCATCTACAGATGAATGGATAAAGAAGATGTGGTATATATATACAATGGAATATAGTATGCAGCCATAAAAGGAATGAAATCTTGACATTTGCAAAGACGTGGATGGAACTGGAGGGTATTATGCTGAGCGAAATATGTCAATCAGAGAAAGACATGTATCATATGATGTCACATATGAGGAATTCTTAATCTCAGGAAACAAACTGAGGGTTGCTGGAGTGGTGGGGGGTGGGAGGGAGGGGGTGGCTGGGCAATAGACATTGGGGAGGGTATGTGCTATGGTGAGCGCTGTGAACTGTGTAAGACTGTTGAATCACAGACCTGTACCTCTGAAACAATTAATACATTACATGTTATATGTTAAAAAAAAAAAAAAGAAGAAGATAGCAGGAAGGGAAAATGAAGGAGGGGAAATCAGAGGGGTAGACGAACCATGAGAGCCTATGGACTCTGAGAAACAAACTGAGGGTTCCAGAGGGGAGGGGGGTGGACGGGATGGGTTAGCCTGGTGATGGGTATTAAAGAGGGCATGTACTGAATGGAGCACTGGCTGTTATATGCAAACAATGAATCATGGAACACTACATCAAAAAACTATGATATAATGTATGGTGATTAACATAACATAAAAAAAAACAAAACTGTGGCTAACAACTTTAGGTTCTAATCTGTGTTAAAGACAACATTCCCCTCTTTCATGTCTTCCCCTTTTTTCATCAATTATTGTCAGTATTAAATCCCAGTGTGTTCCCTCTTATCTCCCAGACATATCCCCAAATGCACACAGGCACCTTCCCTGCCTTCCCCAAGCTTCTTTCTACTCCCAGAGCTCCTCACTAGGAAAGTCTCATATATGTGCATTTTCCATAAGGTGTTGGTGAGAGATAACAGCTTATTCTGGTATTTCTGCATGGAGTGTTTCCATTTTAGAAGAGCACCACTCAGGGGCAGGATTAAGATGACACAAGGGAGACAACTAGGACTCAAAATTTAAGGACCCCAGGAGTGGGTGCCTCCTTAACATCTGCATCCTGCATGCCTCATTTGCGTCACCCTAATCCCAGTCCTGGTATCACTACAGGAAAGGAAGCTGCCTGATATAATGTCCCACAATGGATAGGTAGGTGAGTATAGGGAGATCCTTCCTAGCCAACCTCAAACTCATGCCCCACCCCCCACCCCCCGCTGGAGACTTCCTCCAAACAAGAATGAGCCAGTTCCTGGTCTCACTTTCCTGATAACTGAACAAGAGGAGAAGGCAGGTGTTATTCCTGCACCATGACACTCAGATATAACAGGCTCTGCTTGATGATGTCACTAGTTAGATAAAAGCCCAAAGTAATGTCCAGTCAAACACTTAATGTTTCTCTGGGCCCCATTCTGATTCCTCAGTCCTTTGACTATGGATTCTAAAAAGAACCTTGGGACATCAATTATGGATGACAAAGATTTCTCCCTTGCATTCTGTCCTTGAAACACAACTTACTCAGTTCGGTGAGGATGGGGATTCTTCGGTATTTTGATTTCCCAGAATATCTGCCAAAGTGCTCTGAAGTCCCTTCTGTGAACACAGACAACAACAAAGAAGAAAAGAGATGGATACATGCAAACAAAGTGACTTACAAAACTTGGCAAGGATGGAGAAGCACACCATGTAACTTGGTGCTTCATCTTAACAAAGTTACTCTCATGTCCAAATCCTTGGTTTTTTTCTATATTTAGGGGAAACATTGGGTCCTCCTCAGATCTCCTTTTGAGAAGTGGTGTGTGTGTGTGTATTTTAAATGCACTTCAAATGAACTACAAAAAAGACAAAGCTCACCCTGGTTGCTTATTGACCACATTAGTAAAATATGATTATTCTCTGTGGAGTGGTAGTGCTGGATGATGGCCCAGGCAGGCTGTGCCTGAATCCACATTCATTTGCTTGCAAAACTTTCAGGAAACCACGAATAAATAGGTGGGGCTGCTCCACCAGTGCTTTTGGAGACACTACAACTAGTTTCTGACTCTTAGTGCTCTCAGCCTTTTGGAGATGCTCTCTGGGTATTCAGGTGCCCATGTGGCACTGCTCATGTCTTTCTTCTTCCACAGAATTGGCTGCCTCCCATCCCTGGTTGTCCTGCCTCAATCCTGAATGCCTTGGAAGTTCCTTAAAGATGGGCAGGGTGTCACTTAGAGCCTCTGAGCTTTGCTTTCAGTTTACAGACAGATTTCCCTCCTGTGTGAGGAGGTGAAGCCCTTCACTCTCCTCTGTGAGCCTTGACTCCACAAGACAGTGATGCACAGAACCAGCCTGAAACACAGTGCTACCATGCAGGGAACCATGGACAGGTTCAAAACCAGGCAGAACACCAGAGTTTTGGTCTCTAAGCCAAACTAAAAAAATGTAAAGAATGAAAAGGGAAGAGAGAAATGGAGAGCTAGGGTCCATTTAAAAAAGAAACACACACATAATGATCTCATCAGAAGTGATGCTTTAAAACTGTTGGTTACCTTTCTTGAGCCTTTCTGAGAATACTATGTAACAGGGACATGCTACTGTGAAAGGTAAAAATTCTACTTAAAATTCCCTGCTGCCTTAGAAGAGGGTCTGCTGTTTACTGAGCCAGGCACATGGGAGGGGACAGAGTGAAATGGGGAGTGAATGGAGATGAGCATGGTGGTAAGATAGGCTGACAGACAAAGGAGGGCTGCTGAGACAGGGACAGGGGAAAAGAAATGACCCAGAAGGTTATTTTTTTCAGAGGGAATGCTATATACTATAATATTTACCAGATTTTCCATCTCCGCAAGACATTCAGTAAAAGAGGCACTTCTTACTAATGCAGAGTAGAACTGAATATATTTCTGAGAGTCACTAAAATTTGGAGTCATGCTTCAAGGTGGATTTGGGGTAAAACCTGATGCACCACAGGAAGCTCCCAACCTATTTGGTTTATAGTTAGAAGTGGCAAGTGTCTTAGGAATTTAGTAAATGCTGCAACTTTAGGTAGGGAGATGGAAGACCAGAGGGCTAACCTTGTTCACACAGCTATTTAAGAGGAAGGCTCATAGTTTGGCTCGAGATCAGATATCCTAACTCATTGGTAAATCTTAGTTGTGATGGGACCTGAATACCTTCCAACTGTTTTTCCTAAAAAAATGTCTCTGGGATTTCCATAATGCAAGAAGATTGGGGGAACTAAGATTTACTTTATTCTCAGAACTGTGTAAGATGCTTTCTCTGTTCTATGCACATTTCCTTCCTTCTTCCTTCTGCCAAAATTTAAAGAAAGTCTTCTCCATGCCAGGACTGTGAAGAGTCCCTGTCCCAGTGGCATCCTATGTGATGCAAATATAAAATAATTTCAGTGATGAGTATTGTGGAAAAACCTAACTTTGAGGGACCAGTGATTGATGAGGGAAGGTGACTTTAGATAGGATCTGAAAAGAGTCCTCTCTGATGTTGGAATGGAGTCCTGAGTGGTGACAAGCTACCCAGGCAGAGGGAATAGGATGAGGGATCCAAGGAAGGAAAGAGCCAGTATAAACAGGATGAAGTAGGAGAAAATTCAAACTCTCTACTGGCCTGCAAGACCCTATGTTATTTTCCTATAATTGTCATGGGTCACATTATAGGGTTTAAAGTAGGGAACTGACATTATTTACTAATATTTATAGACGATCCCTCTGGCTGCTGTGAGCAGTAGAAACTATAGAGAGATCACAATTTTACTACAGTCATATCAAATCTGTGAATTCAGTGTATATAGTCAGATACTTCCATCTCAAATGTTCTTATTGGGTACAGACACATGTATAACAGTTGAAACAATTGCTTTGGATACCAGCTGAAGGACGGCAACTGAATTTCTGCCTTAATTCTATCTTGTCTTGTAGAGCAATGGTTAATTTGAATATGTGTCAGATCATAGCCTGAGTATATTTTACTAATGTCAATATTTTTGCTACCTGGTAGTACATAGTATTATACCTGAAATCTTCCAGTCTGGCAGGGTGTTATTACAAAAAATTGCTTAATTGTAGATTACTACTGTACATTTAAATTTCAGTAGCATATTAAGTTGTCAGACTTAATTACCATTATATGTTTAGATTATGCCACAGATTATTTAGTTCAGTACCTAGGTTTGCCAACCTGTTCTCCTTGTGACGAGACAGGGCAGCAATTAGAGTGTCACTGGAAAACCTAAAGTTTCCCATGGAAATGTCCAGGAGGGCTGGCATTCTTACAGATCTTTCAGAGAGTCCTCACTCTGCTGTTCCCAACCCCCAACATCCCTCGGTGAATCACTGTATGGAATAGCTTTGGTGGTCCAAGATGGCCTTCATATATGTTTGCCATGACTTCATCTTTCCCATGAAGATGTGGGAAAGCCCACTGATCCCACAAACGTCTCACCAGATATGCAAGGGCAAGGTTTCTGATCTTGATATGATTAACATTTGGGGCCCAAAAGTTTGTTTGTTTGAAACTATGTGGGGCTGTCCTGTGCATTGTAGGATGTTTACCAATATCTCTGACCTCTACTCACTAGCTGCCAATAGTATCCCCTCAAGTTGTGACAACCAAAACTGTCTCCAGACATTGTCAGATGACCTCTGGGGGCAAAACTGTTCCTGATTGATAACCATTATCCTAGAGGAAGGGAAAGTGAACTGTCCATTGGCTAATCTTATGTTGGTACTCAGCATGCAAGATGTTCTCTGCCTCCTAGAAGAATTTCACAATCCTTTATACTGTCAATTCTTGGAGGCATGTACTCCCATTTCCACCTCTTAAGGATGGTACAAGAGTAGTATTAATATGAAATGGGAAGAATGGTTAAGAGAACAAAACAGGCTTCTCTGAGGATTGGGAATTTCTGTATATAAACTCCAGGCAGATTCCTATAATGCCAGAGTCATTAATGAAATTTCTGAGTAATGATCCTTTGTTTTTCACAAGTTCATAATGTGACTTTACTGATGCTATGGTGCCAGACAAGCAGACTCCATGACCTTTGTTGGGTGGCACAGTAGAGCCTGACTGGATCTGCATTTCCTGGTTACACAAATGGGTATGATGACATCCATAAAAAAAATGGTGCAAGGCCTACACAATACATTTTTCTCTAAACTTTTGCTTTTATCTTTGGGGATAGCACCTACTCATTCTTCATAATGATTGAAATACTTTGATATTCCTTCATTTTTTCTGCCTCCTTTCCAAATCTTTTTCCCCCTCACCTTTACCTCCTTTTACCAATTCATCTTTCTCCTTTGAGGGCAACCTTTTAACCTGTAACAGAGTACAGGGCACATCATACAAGAACAACATTGTTTTGTTGAATTAATAAATAAGTTAAAGGATGAAAATTACTAGATATAAAAGAAACCAGAATTAAATTCACAGGTTTCTATCTTTCTAGCCTATGTAAGATGTGAAACTTAAGTAAAACTAATCATAGGAAGGACAAGTCACCCAGATGATTAACTAGATGGCCGATGTCAGTTTATCCCAGGCTATGTTATGCGGGCATTTTCATTTGCATATTGATGATATTGCCTTTAAAGTGAATACTTCTTCTCTGTCCAATCATAGAAAGTTGTAAGCGTGGTGTACTCACATACACACCTACTCACGCATATACCACACACACATCTTGTGTAAATCTGAGTGAGCCTAATTGCTAAGCTAAGGATTTATGTGCAGAACACAACAGCATTTTTAGATTTGTTTAGTAGTGATATGGCTCATACCTCCTTAGTCTGGATTTTCATGGCACTCTGCTATTCATAAAGTGCTTTGTTATTAGTCTGCTTTGCAAAACACCCTGAAGCTCTGGGTGCCAACTGGGCTTTTGTTGCTTAGGAAGGGTGTCTCAAGTAGCTGGCTCAGTTCACCTACCAAAGATTAGGCTAGATTACTCACTTACTCCTTTGGTCCAAGAACCTTCTATTTTCCCACCTAGCAACAGTGACCTGGGAGTCAGAGAGAGCTCTTTTGGTTTCCTAATTTGATTCATGAACATTTTTATCCACAACCATAATCATGAAAGCCTCGCAATTTCTGTGATGTCTGACCACTCCAAGTTCCATGCACAGTGGAACAGCTGTGCTCAGCAGCTGCACGGCTAGAGGACTGAGTTCCTGATCCTGAGTATCAACATCCCCAAGGGAAATGGCTGGATGGAGGGGACCCCAACAATGATTTACTTTTATTTTTGAGTTGAAAATCTGTTTTAGATACAGAAAATTCTTCACTAATAGTTACTTTCATATTAGGTTGAATGTCTAGTAGTCAATTTTAGAAATAGATTAATAGATAAACCTTTTCCTATTTGGAGGGGAGAAGGGAAACCACAATTTTTAGTGGGAATTTACTTCAAACACTTGGGTACAGTGAAATGTTGGGAACTCCTCAAGAGTCCAGCTTACTGGATCATTTGCTTCAATTCATTAGGTAGGTGGTAAGCATCTAAGTGACCATAATTGTACTAGGCACTAAGAGGAATACAAAGGAGGAAAAAACTTGATCCCCATCCTGAATAGATCCTGCTTCTTACCATCTCTTTCCAATCTGAAGCTACAGTATGACATCTTTAGTCTATGGAAGTCAGAAGAGACCTTAGCGATAGTCTTCTAAAGTTCATAAATTGAAAGCATCTTGAAAGAGTAAAAGAGGGGAGGAGCAAGATGGCAGAGGAGTAGGAGACCTACATTTCATCTGGTCCCAGGAATTCAGCTAGATAGGGATCAAACCATTCAGAACACCTACGAACTCAACAGGAGATCAAAGAAAAGAATAGTAGCAACTCTCTGAATAGAAAAGCGACATTTTCTGGAAGGTAGGACATGTGGAGAAGTGAATCTGAGGCAATATTCAGGAAGATAGATGGTGGTGGGGAGGGAGCCTCTGTCAGCCGCTACCGGCAGATGATAGAGCAGCGGAGCACAAAATCAGAACTTTTAGAAGTCTGCTCTGCTGAGGGATGTCGCTCCAGTGGCTAAGCAAGGGTGGAAC